TCATTTGCAGGCCATACAAAATTATCAACAGAGAGATAGCCAGGGAAGCCAACAAAAAGCATTTGTGAAACATAAATTTGTCCATCCAATCATGTATCAAATGATTTTATGGGCCTCATGTCACCCAAAAGCTAGATGTTCCCTCCACTAGATGGAACAATGGAGTGAAAAATGCAGAGAATCTTGACTAGGAGAGCCTGAATTTGAGTCCAAGCTATAAGAGAAGCTATAAGAGAAGCTATTTAATTTCTCTAAATGGCAGTTTCCTCATCTATAAAATGGGGACCCCACAATAGCTACCTACAGGACTGCTTTAAAATCACCAACGTGACAGTATTCCATGAACTGTAAAAGGTTATATAAACATTCCTATTTACTTTACTAATTTTTGCTTAATACATGAATTATATAATTTTGAAAATTAGAAAAAAATAGAAAAATGAAATTATGTTCTTGTTGAAAAAAATACATGGAACTGTAGATTATCATTTTATGTGAAATAAACCCATCCTACAAAAATATAAGAAAATATAGAAAAGTATTAAGAAAAGAAATACTCACAAATCTATCATTGTTGTTACTTGTTTTTAACTAAAATAGTCTAACACCAATCAAAAGAAATGAAAGCAAAAAGTAACTTCAGTTTAAAACTGATTGTTACAAAGTGACAAAATTAATTGCTAAACTCTCTTTTAAGAGCAGTATACCCTTTCCCATCTATCAGCCCAAAGTGAAGACAATGCTACTATTTGTCCCAGCACTGGTCCCAAGTGCCTAAGATATATGGGTGAGGCCCATAAAAGTCAAGGCCACAAAAACTCCCCAAATAAATATTTCATGAGCCTAAGGAATAGTTACAACACTTGCCCTCAGATGCCATGTGAAAGGCAAATTATCTGAAGCCCCATTAATAAAACTGACATGACTGTAATGGACACATCAAAGACTGACAGTTTTCTATAGGCCAGAAAAGAAAATTTATAAACGATGCTGTACATACATTGAGCAGACAAAGATTTCTGACTTCTTCACACTGCTTACTGAAGCCTATTCTTGGAACTTTTGTGTATTTTCTCTGTTCCATCTTCCACTTCACTCCTCCTTTATTATTGTATAGAACTTGCTCTCTGTGTTTAAAGTTGCCTTACTGTATACAATAGAGTCTAATTTAGGAAAAACAAAAAAGAATGAAGTTTTATCCATGAAGAAAGTAAAACATTAAGTGAAGGATACCAGACACAAAGCCTATATAGTGTATGATCCCACTTACATGAAATGTCCAGAACACGTAAATCCTACAGTATACAGGAAGTAAACTGCTGGCTGCCAGGCTTGGGAAACAAGGTGGGGGAAAACAATGAATGACTGTTAATGAGTATGGGGTTTCTTTTGGAAGAGTCAAAATGTTCTAAAATTAGACTGTAGTGATTATTGCACAACCTGGAAAACATATCCAAAAATAATGACTTGTACACTTTAAATAAGCGGTATGGTATGCAAATTCTTTCTCAACAAAACTGTTCCCAAAATGGTATTATTCGTGTGTGTATACATATACATATATTCTTTGACATTCAAAGAGGTCTTAAAAATACCTGTCTTGTAAATGAATGAATGGCCATGCTCCAACAATTGAAAAGCTCATCTTCACTTAGTAACTTTTTGCTGTTTGAGGGCCTTGAACTCAGGCCTGGCACTGTCTCTGAGCTTTTTGGCTCAAGGATAGTGCTCTACCATTTTAAGCCACAGCTCCACTTCTGGTTTTCTGGGGGTTAATTAAAGATAAGATTCTCATAAACTTTCCTGTCCAGGCTGGCTCTGAATCGTGATCCTGAGATCTCAGCCTTCTGAGTAGCAAGAATTACAGGCATGAGCCACGGGCACCAGGCTCATCTAGTAAATGTTGTTGTTGTTGTTCGCCATGGGGCTTGAACTTAAGGCCTGAACTCTTTTTGCTCAAGGCTAGTGCTCTACCACTTTGAGTCACAATTCCACTTCCAGTTTAGAGGGATGGCTAATGGGAAATAAAAAGTCTCACAGATTTTCCTATCCAAACTAGCTCTGAACAGCAATCTTCAGATCTCAGCCTCCTGAGTAGCTAACATTACAGGAGAAGCCACTAACACCCAGCTCATCTAGTAATTTTTTATTTTACAAATATCCAAAAGTCATGTAGAACAAGAATGTTAAATAATAAATAGTAAATGAAGTAGGTGGGTTCACTAATGCCCCACCAGTCAAAATATACATTTTCTGAACCCCAAAAAACAAATTTGGGAGCCGGAGGCTGAGATCTGAGTAGCAAACATCACAGGTATATACCATACCAACTGGCAAATTTCAGATTATTTGCTCAAAAATTAGTCATTATTTTATAGTAATACCATATATTTCTCCCAAACAAGGTGAGGAGTCCATTATAGAGATATTATGTCTTCTACTACATTTCTGGTTAATTCCTTCTCCATTTTCCTTGCATCATCTAAAGCCTTCATTTTCTTCATAATCAACCAACTTATAAGGTCTTCTCATTTTTCATCCTTCCCATAGTTCCTTTTTCTCCAACAATATTTACTAAGCCACCTGTGGCTCAATGTGGAGGTTAGAAACTGGAAAATTATATACATATATAAATTATATAAAAATTATATATATAAAGGCCTGCTCTCTAGACACAATCTAGTTAAGACTTGAGGCACATATGGGACCCATATATTCAAAAGCCACAATTGGCACTGAGAAATCAAAGTAATAGCTAGATCTTCTGGCCTCCCCAGAGCCAACCCACAGTCTTCCTCACACACCATTCTTATGCTCCCCCTCCCACTCTCTTTGTTCATCCAGATGGATAAGGTCTTCGGTTAAACTTCCCATATGCCATGCACTGACTTCATCTCTAATTTTTCTCAACTTTCCTCCAGAATTACGATCAAGACAATCTATTTGCTAAAACCTGGAGGTGACTTAGAAGAACCTCTGCTCATGACTGTCAGTACAAACCTTTCCACTTTCTCTACTAATTCATATGGACTTCAAATTTCAAAACCCTTCTTTTGATTGTGTTGTAAAGTTTGTAACTAGATGAGATTTTTTTTCAACCTATGACTAGCCTTACTTCTTTTGAATTTGTCTCCATGCCTATTACAGTATTTTCTAACTCAAGTTGCTTATGACAATCACATATGGAGCTTCCTAAAAATATAAAGGCCTTCACCTCACCCCTGGAGAGCTCTCCACGATGTCTGGGGTGGGAGCTGGACATTTTTATATCTGAAAAGCCCCACTGGTGATTCTCATGCATATGAGAACCACTAATTTATTGCAATGTTCTTCATATAGTATTAATTCAATGCTTATTAATTCATAGCATAGAAGCTCATAAATAACTTTTCTCTAAATAGCCTAACCAGATATCAACCCCTTGACTGCACTAACTGTGCTCCAAGTGCAACATGTGGTTTTTAAGATTTCATTTCCTGAAGTACAACATAGAGACTCTATTACCTTGTCTCTTTACATTGTTTCCTACTTGATGAAAAATGGAGGCCTGGAATGCAGCCATGTTAGACAGCACTACATTAAGAATGTACTCTGAAATCAGAGTGAAATGAATTTTAAAGAGAATGAGAACAATGTAAAAACGGACATTCTGAGTCAATACAGTATTCTTATTGAGTAGATCTTTACTGAGTCTCTAAAGAAGAACAAGAATTTGGTGCGTGGTGTTTCTCTGTCCTCTAGATTTCATAAAACCCAGGGAGACCTTCAACTACTGAAGTTCCTCTCTAAGTGCACTACTCAAATCAGATAAATTGTCCAAGCCCCACCCAGACCCACAGTTACCTACCAACTATCCTAACACACACTGTTTACATAGCTCTGTAAGGGCGAGGTATAAACTTTTTCCACCGTTGCTCATCCTAAGCAACAGTGGTCTGAGTCAACCACCCAGAGTGAGTTTAGTGAGTGACATTAGCCAGAGGACTGTTAACAGACTGCTATCTCTTTTCCCCATTCCAGAAGGTTTCATCTCCAGTAGGAATCACTTCAGTTATTTGTCACAACTGTGGGCTACATTGACCTGTAGGGCCAGTGGCCACCAGGAAGTATGACCGAGGGAGGGGACCTCCCAGCTTTCTTTTGGGCAGGGGGCTAGAGATCTTAGATTCCACAGGCCTCTCCTGGCAGCTCCATCTTGCTTCCTGCCAGAAGGAGGGGCAGAGCAGGACTTCCCCCGAGTCAGGAAAAGCCCCAGTGGGATGAAACCCTTTGACAGAAGGTAAAGCCAGGTGGAAATCTACGAGGAGGAAATAAATTGAAAGGCAGTAGTTCAAGAGGGAGAATAAACGGGTCTCCTGCGTAAAGGTATGAATACAAGATACCCTGCGGAGAAGGAGTGGATATAGACCAGAGATCTCCAAGATCAATGGGGATAAAAGGATCCGAAATGCGACTGCGGGAAGAGGTGGGCTGGTGGAGTCAGGCAGGTCTCGGAATGCCAGGCATTAGAAAGCATTAGAAAGGAGAACAGCGGCTTTCAAAGCAGAGTCCCTGGGAGGAAAACCCACTCCCTACTCACAGGCCTAAAAAGGAGTGGAGAGCAAGGCGGTCTCCGTGGGGAACCACAGCCAGCCCAGGGGGGACTGCCTAACAATTATCATTTGTAGGCGCCAGCGACAGGCAAAATGCCACGCTAACACCTCGCAGAATCTTCACAACACACCCGCAAGGCAGGCTTCATTATGGTTGCCCCCATTTTATAGACGGGGAAACTGAGACCTCCCTTCTCCCTCCCAGAGGCTCGGGGGCTTTGCGCAAGGTCATCGGGCGGGTTAATCAACATTCGAATCCGAATCATCTTGGTACTGAGACTGCCAGCCGGCCCGCGAATGGAAGCTGCTAGACAGACCTGGACCTGGGGGCTGTCTCCCGCCCCCGGCCCCGCCCCCGCCACGGCCTCGGCCCCAGCCCCGACCCAGGCCTAGGCCCAGAGCGCTTACCCGGACTAGGTTGCTGACCGCCGCTTGCACCGCAGCCACGGGCGCCGTGAGGTCAGGAATGGCTTTGCCGTCCACCTCGCCCTCCTCGTGCATAATCACCAGGTGCGAGATCTGCTGCGCCACCGGCTCCAAGATGCTCTCAATCGTGCGTGTATGAAACACCGGCATCGCGGCGACTTAGCGGGGCGGCGAACCGCGAGCGACCGAGAACAAGATCTGCGGGGAAAGGAACCCGCGGAGAGACAGACTCCCAACAGCGACTCCGGGCTTCCCTCGGCGTAACTAACCTCACGGGGCGCCCCGCCCTTTCGTGTCGCAGCGTCCAATTGCCTCGCCGCTCAAGGCCGGAGCTGCTACTCCTATTGGCTCCTTTTCGAGAGGCTCAACCTCCACCCCCCCCCCCCACACACCACCGGCGCCGCCAAAGTCCCGCCCCGCCCCCATTCCCAAGGGAGGGGCCTAGGATTGGGGCTGCGCCGCAGGGATTGCAACCGGATTCCCGAGCCCCAGCGCGCGGCGCTCCTTATAAGGGCATAGTGGGAGCGGAGCAGGCGGCCGGACACGGATGGCCCCGCCCCCCTGGCGGCCTCCCGCCTCGGATCTGCAGAATCACCTCAGCGGGGCGGGGTCTCCTCACCTCAGCCGGTGGTAGAGTCTGAGGAAACTTAGTAACCAAAACTCCTCAGCTTTTCCCTTCACACAAGGCCGTCAAACTACCCTTTCCATCTCCTCTTAGTAAAACATGAAAACCTAAAAGATCCAAAGGACAGAACTGCACCGAGAAACGTGAGTGTCCCATTGATTAACACAGACTGCTCCCCCAGCCCTCCTCAGAACTATGCAGCTTAGCAGTTGGGTGTGTAATCTACTCCTTTGTCTATGCAAGTCACTTCTAAGTATGTATTTTCTAAGTAAATGAGAGTAAACAGTTTTCTGGAGCTGAGGAAGGCCTTTTCATTCCTCATATAAAATTACCTTTTTATCTTTCAGTTTATCGACCTCATTCTTTTTAATGGCTGCATCATATTCCATTGCATGAAATAAAACTTTTTTCTGTAGCCAGTTTCCTAATAATTGTCTCCCATTGGGTTCTATTTTTCATTGTTTAAAAAAAAAAATCCTGAAGCCAGGCCTGGATGTGAACCTCTGTAGCTCTGTAGTCCTATCTCTCTAGAAGTAGAGGAAGGAGAAATCACTTGCACCCCAGAGTTCAAGGCCAGCCTGGACAGCATAGCAAGACAAAACAAAAAACGTGCATGAACGTTATTGTATCTCTGTGCTGTTCACCTACAAGTGAAGTGAAAATGTGTAAGCATGCACCTTTTACAGGTCAATAGGTGAGACCTAATTGCCTAATCTTCTCAGAGCATGCTTTAAGACATCTTTTGCATGTTGTTCTAACCTCAAGTTCCGTTTACCCAAACTTACTCTTCTTTTTATTTATTTTTTTTTTTTTTTGGGTTGGTCGTGGGGCTTGAACATTGAGTCTGGGCGCTGTCGTCAGCTCTTCAGCTCAAGGCTAACATCTACCACTTGAGCTATAGCGGCCACTTCCAGTTTTCTGAGTGATTTATTTGAGATAAGAGTCTTATGGACTTTCCTGCTTGGGCTGGCTTTGAACCTCGATCCTCATAGTTCAACCTCCTGAGTAGCTAAGATGACAGGAGTGAGCCACTGGCGCCCAGCCTTCCTCATTTTTTGGCGGAAGGATTTTTATTAAAGTCGCCAAGCAAAAGATCCTCAAGCGGCTAGGAAGGTGGCTCAGTGGTAGAGTTCTTGCCTTGCAAGCGTGAGGCCCTAGGTTTGATTCCTCAGCACCACATAAACAAAAAAAGCCAGAACTGGTGTTGTGGTTCAAGTGATAGAGTGCTAGCCTTGAGCTGAAGAGCTCAGGGACGGCCCAGGCCTAGAGTTCAAGCCCCACGACCTACAAATAAATAAGTAAATACCAGAAAAAAATATTTGGTATTATGAGTTCCTCTCCCTTATCTCTGCTGTATATATTAATAAATCCTTAACTATTCCCTTGTCATGCCTACCCTTTGTGTATGTGTATGTCTGTGCGTTGGTACTTGGGGCTTGAAGTCAGATGTTGGACTCTTGTCTAATAGCTTTTTCCCTCAAGGCTAGGACTCTCCGAATTGAGCCACGCCTCCACTTCTGTTTTTTTGCTGCTTAGCTGGACATAGAGTTTCATGCACTTTCCTGCTCGGACTGTCTTTGAACCTTGATTCTCAGATCTTAACCTCCTGAGTAGCTAGAATTACAGGCATGAATGACCAGTACCAGCTTATATTTTCCCTTTAGTTTACTATGAACTTATATCTATATCTATTTTAAGTTAACAAGTACTTGGCACATCCAAAGTTCTGGACACTGGGATAGGCCTTTATTTAAATTCAGGAATATGCAGCATTTAGTTTTTATCACCCCATTTTATAGATGATAAACTCAAGTTCTGAAATTTATATTAGTTTACACATAGAGCCAGTTACTCATTATATGGAGCCCATCACAAAATGAAAATCTAAGACCCTTGTTCAAAAATAAGGAATGGCCAGGCACTAGTGGCTCTCACCTATAATCCTAGCTACTCAGGAAGCTGAGATCTGAGTATCGTGGTTCAAAGGTAGCCTGGGCAGAAAAGTCCCCATGATACTCTTTTTTTTTTTTTGGGTCCAGCCATGGGGCCTGCACTCTGGGCCTGGGCACTGTCCCTCAGCTCTTCAGCTCAAGGCTAGCACTGTACCACTTGAGCCACAGCGCCACTTCCAGCTTTTTTCTTTTTGCTTATGTGGTGCTGAAGAATCGAACCCAGGGCCTCTGGCATGCAAGGCAAGCACTCTACCACTGAGCCACCTTCCCAGCCCCCACGATACTCTTATCTTGAATTAACTACTCAAAAACTGGAAGTGGTAGAGCGCTAACCTTGAGCACAAAGAGGCTCAGGGACAGCACCCACGCCCTGAGTTCAAGCCCCACAACCAACAAAAAATAATAATTATAATAATAAGGAAAAGTACTGTAAGAGATACTGAAATACTTTATTTCCTTCAGTGATCTTCAACTTGCTCTTGTGACTTTTTACTCATTATTCTATTTCCAGTTCCTGGACCTTTAGAATAAGTACAGACCCTCACAGAAAGCTGCCAGGATCCTCCTGCCAACTGCTAGATTAATTCTTTGTTCCCCAGCTCTCAAAAAAAGGAAAGCAAGTCAAGCATCTCCTCTTCCCACAGGCTTGCCTACTCAGACTACAGCAGATGGGTAGCCTTCAAAGATACAGCAACTTCCTCTGAAACTTGCCCAATAATTTATCCCCACTGAGTTAAGCACTAAGCATATTGTGGCACTGTTAGCTCCAGCTGGAAATGACTACCACCGTGCCTCAACCCTAGATCCCTAAGGGACAACACAGTGAACCTTGACCAAGGTCGGGCAGAGGGCAGTGATTACTAGGTAGGAATAGGGGGAGTTAGGGTACGGGAGGTGAGGAGAGAGAGAGAAAGAGAGACAGAGAGAGAGAAAGTGGGAGAGAAAGAGAGAGCTACCTTCTTTGCTGATTTATATACTTAAGAGCAATTTAACATCTTCTTTTGTTCTATATATTTCCTGCGAGTTGGCAGCAAGTTTCAGAGGGTTGCTCATGTCCTAGTCTTTTAAGTGTAACATATCATCCCTGTCTCCAATTTTGTCATCCAGGCTCCTCATTATTGGCCATAATAACCTCTAAAATACTATTTTATTCTCCAAGACTAATCTATACCCATTTCTGTTTCTTTTCTCCCCCAGATTCACATACACCCTCTAAAAACTTGTTTTTTTTCCCACTTAGTGCATTTTTTTAATATAGGATCTTGTGATTTTACCTGGAGCTGGATTATGGCCTAGGATTATGATCCTTCTACCTCTCCTTGCTGTCTAGATGGGATTACGGACCTGCACTACAATGCCTGGCCCTCTACTATTTTTTTTGACACATGTTAGAAGTGCCCTCCACAATCTGGGCCAGGATCAACCTTCCTGCCTTCTGCTTCTCTATTGAAACCAGAGACAGATGGGTTAAATGGTATAAAGAACACAAACCTTGCCGGGCGCTGGTGGCTCACGCCTGTAATCCTAGCTACTCAGGAGGCTGAGATCTGAGGATCACGGTTCAAAGCCAGCCCGGGCAGAAGAGACCGTGAGACTCCTATCTCCAATAAACCACCAGAAAACCGGAAGTGGCACTGTAGCTCAAGTGGTAGAGCGCTCGCCTTGAGCTGAAGAGCTGAGGGACAGCGCTCAGGCCCAGAGTTCAAGCCCCACGACCGACAAAAAAAAAAAAAAAAAAAAAAGAACACAAACCTGGAATCATCACTGTTCAATCTATATCCCAGCTTTTCAGTTCAATTGAGATATAAATCTTGCAAGTGGTTTTTCTTCTCTCTGCCTCAATTTCTTTCCTTGAACAAGTAGTATAACACCATTTTTGTAGACTTAATGTAAGGACTGAGGAATGATTTTATGTAAAAATATCTTCAAAACCTTTGGTTAAAAAGGAGGCATTGTTATTATTGGGATGGTAACAAATAAATTAATTCAGTCTCCAAAAACTCCTAGTGGAGTTTCTCTTTTGAGAGATTTTCAAAAATTATTTTAAGTAGTTGTACAAAGGAGTCACTTTTGAGGGATTTTTTTGTTTGTTTTTTGTCGGTCGTGGGGCTTGAACTCTGGGCCTGGGCACTGTCCCTCAGCCCTTCAGCTCAAGGCGAGCACTCTACCACTTGAACTACAGCGCCACTTCCGGTTTTCTGGTGGTTTATTGGAGATGGGAGTCTCACAGTCTCTCCTGCCCAGGCTGGCTTTGAACCGCGATCCTCAGATCTCAGCCTCCTGAGTAGCTAGGATTACAGGTGTGAGCCACCAGCGCCCGGCACTTTTGAGGTTTTAAAGCATGTTTCTTTCCCATCTACAAAGCTCCTTGTACTTGTACAAGTCTTACCCCATCTAAAAAGCTCCTTGTGCTTGTACAAGTCTTACCAATTGTGGTAGGCAAAATTCTAAGTTGTCCCCCCAAGACTGCCCAGCTCTGGTATATATAACAGTCTGCATAATCCCAAGCATATGGATGTAATAGGTTTTACTAGCATAATTAGTTTGTTATGTAATATACTTTACCTTAAAATAGGGAGATTCTCTAGATGGGCCTAATCTAATCATATGAGCCCTTTTAAAGCAGTTTTCTCTAGCTGGTCACAGAAACTTGCATTCTGCTCAGATTCCAA